AATTTCCCAATCTAAGCGGTTTTGAAATCTGAAAATTCAGTTGCATAGGTTTTCGTTAGTGAACTTTATAATGAAAATATTTATGAATATGTGCTGTTTCCATATATATCGGAAATAGTCCTCAACTTATTAACTAATTAGAAATCTATTTATTATGACAGAATGAATCAGAATGCTTAAGTACAGTCTCCTGGCTTTTATAAACAGTTGAAGCCTAAGAAACATTATCCTGTAACAACAGGACAGGTACATGTAAAATTTGCAATTTTATGTACACCATTGTTTAGTACTGTAGAAGCGTAGATACAAAAAGTGAGGATATTGGGATGAGAATGGTAAAAATGGTTGGAAAATGAAAGGATTCGCATGGATTTGTGGTGAAATGTATATGGGTATAGAAAATGTCACACTGAGAGTGCAGTACTGGTAAGTACAAGTAAGATACGGCAATGCTTTTCTTATGGAGAATAAACGCGCACGGTTGTTGGTTTTCTCCAGCTGTTGATTGCTCATTGTCTCACAGGACCGGCTTGGATAAAATGCATCTGCCGGCAGTACGAGTAAAATATTTTATATCATGTATACGTATACAGTAGAATAAAAATGCATTGATGAGTTATTGACAACGAAAACTATGAATTTTGCATATAAAACGTCAACATAAGATATACAATTGAATCATATTAAGAGTAACATTTGAACACCTCTTTACAAGAACAACATATAATAACTGTAGTTTTAATGTTTTACATAAAATAGAAAAAACCTACATAATTTCTAGGAAAGAATTTGGAAACTTGGAAATGATATTATTTATAGATATATATATATATATATATATATATATATATATATATATATATATATATATATATATAATATCAAATTTCCAATTCTTTCATAGAAATTAGATTTTTTCTATTGTATGTACATTATTAAAAATACAGTTATGTTGTTTCTATAATTAGGTCTTCATTTCTTTTGTAAAACTTCTGCTACAAATTACCATCATTAACATAATCACCTAAATATGACCATAAACTTGTTTGTCATAACTAGTATTTGATAAACTCCAAGTTTTCCCTATTTCACCCCCTACCCATACCAAGGATGGGTAGGGGGTGCTTTTGGAAAACGAAACTACACTTCAAAATTTAGTCCAAGTTTCAACCTGGTTTCAACAGAGAGCATGGAGTCCCATAAGTTTAAATCCGGTGAATTATTTAACGGTTGCGCTAAACTCGTAGTGTTAAATGGTTTGTGTTTTTTATAAAATACGGAACAACTTAATGTAAGTGCTGCTGTAAGGCGTACTTCGTTGATGACTGGTGTTAGCGAAAGAAGCATTTACAATTTCAAAAAAGAAAAAGAACAGAGTGGAACGTTGAAATTGCCAAAAAAAAACGTAAAAAACGAGTGTGTTAATCAAATTCTAGAATATTCACATATGACGAGGGTGTAAGAAGTATTCTACGGAGAATTGTTCATTGTGAATTTTTCATGAAAAATTTGCCGCCATTCTTAAAGCATATACATAACTTCATACAAAGTAATGAGAATATACACTAATATACAGCCGTTGTCTCTTTCTACTTTATACACACTTCTGAAAGATATTGGATTTGTTCATAAGAAACGTGGCCGAAGGATTATCATGGTGGAGCGAGAGGATATTATTTATTGGCGCCATAATTATTTGAGAACTATACGACGTTTGCGAAAAGACCATTGCAATATCATATATTTGGACGAATCGTGGGTTAATGTTGGCCAATCTATAAATTACGAATGGTGCGATACTACAATACAAAACCGTCGTGATGCTTTTCTCAAAAGTTTAAGTACTGGCTTAAAAGCACGTACTAAACGAGGTATGTTTTATTGCATGCAGGTTTTTCAGGAGGTTTCCTTCCTGGCACACAGCGTGTTGGTGATGAGTTTACGTGTACCCATGTAAAGATCCTCTCTTTCCTGGGTAGCTCTGAGATGTTTGATGATGATCATTTAAGTACTTTTTTGATGTCCCAAGACCTGCAAAATATAATCGTTAAATTTGAGAACTGCAAAAGTAAAATTAATCCTTGCTGTTTGACTGGCCCCACAATCCCCAGTAATCCGTAAAAATTGTGTTAATTGAAAGAATAACTAAATCCATTCAATCTACTTACCAGTCTGTAATTATCGTGTCCTTCAAAATATTTTCAACGACAGAGCTAAAGATAGAAAAAATCATTATTGTCTCGTTTTTCAAAATTATTTGTTATATACCTAATAATTTAACACGTTCGTAGAGATGAATAAAAAATATTGACTTCTAAAAATTCATATGATTTTTACGAGCGAAAAATACATAATATTATAAACAACACTATTCGTAGGTAGACAAGAGACATTTGCAAATAAAAAGCCTTTTCGTGACATTCTTTGCGACAGGTCATTTTTTAGTTATAAACAATAAGTAATGGAAGATCGCTATTTGTTTAATTAATACTATAGTAAAAGTAGTAGTAAAAGGGTACAAAAATTTTAAGTCGTAAATAATATCCTGTTTATTCTATAATTAATGAAATTTTAAACATTTATCGTTCGCTAATAATTTGATTGTTTAAAAACTCCTTTTGTACGTTTAGTACAGTGAATGAAGGTAAAAATCAACTATTACCTGCGATTTCGATGAACCTCCACGATTTGCATGAAAATTTGGTATTGAGTATATTTTACCGTCAACTTCAAAAGTGGCATATGCTCAACTTGCACTTTTTGCATTTTAGGGGTGAAATCCACTACTTTTTTTAAAAATGGTAAAAAATACAGATTTAAGCAGTCTGGCTTAAGTAATCTCGATTAATAAAATAAAATAAATATTTTGCAACATTTATAAGCATGATTTATGATTTTAATTAATTTTTCAACCCTTTTAGCAACTATCCCTTAAATCGAAAATCATGAAAAAATCCCCAATATATTGTAATCCCCAAAAAGTTTCTTTAATATTTATGATATAATTTTTGATTGACTGTGAAATTTAAACTCTTAAAAACCACCCGCTTAAAGCAGAATCATTGAAAAAATTAATTTCAAGAAACCTTAATTATTTGAATAATACATTACTGAATTGAAATCTCATTTACTGAGTATTAAAGCATTTATTTATTTATTGTGTAATTTTGCACCCTTAAAAACTACATCTTGTCATAAAAATAATGAAAAATGTTTTTTTATTAGCTTTAATAGGTTTAATCATATAGAAACTTTTTTATTGGTTATGATAAACTTTATTAACATATTCCACACTTTATTAATATTATTCTTTCCACATTTCCTGAACAATTTTTTCAGTGCTTATGTGACTTTAAAAATTTAATTTTCTAGTTAAGAGGAAAACGCATTAAAATAAATATTAAAATACATGAAAAGTACTTTCAATTTTTATTTCAGTAATGTTTCATAAATTAATCAAATATTAATAGTACTTTAATTGTTAATTTGTCACTCTTCATCAGAGCTCTCTTCACCAATTTCTCCTATTTCAATAATTGTAGGTGCAAATAGATACTCGTTTTTCGAATTTTGAAGATTTGCAAATTTTTGACCTCTTTGACGATTCAAAATTTAAAAGTTACGCCAAAGAATTTCCAAGATATTTATTAGACAGGTTAATTAAAAATTATGCATCATTCTTTAATCAAATAAAATTAGAAAATGAATTAAAAAATTTATATGCTGATCCAAATATTTTCGGAAGATGGGATAAGTTACAAGATATGTATAATTTTATATACTGCAATTCATTACAACCAACTGTTACCGAAATTAATAAATTATTGTCATTAATTCTCTCATTACCACCAACGTCTGCCTCAAATGAACGAGATTTCTCTTGCCTCAAAAGAATCAAAACGTATTGTCGAAATACCATGAAACAAGAGAGAATGTCAAGCTTGTCTCAAATGTCAATAGAAAAAAACTTTTAAAATCTCTCCAAAACTCTAATAAATTTTACGATGACGTTTCTACCCATTTTACTACTTCCAGACAACGTAGACTAGAGTTAATTTATAAACATGCTTAGGTTCTAAATTTATAGGAAAAAAAACAAAAAACAAGAAAACAAAAAATCTCCTATGATGATTGAAGTCTTTATTAGACGGTCTCTCAAGCCACGAGCCGCCACTGCTGAGGTGTATTAATAAAAAATTAATACGATTTTAAAACGATTTAAAAAACGTATACGATTTTAATTAAAAAATGTTTTCGAAAGCGAAAGACCGTGAAATTGAAAATTTTAATGAGTAATTTTTCCATTGTAATAAAATTAATAAGCTTAGATTTTATTGAACTTTATTTGCCGTACAATTCCCACAAATTCCTTAAATAAAGACAATTTGCAACTCTTTAAATAAAGACAAATGTAACAATAGTTGTACAACTATTTATCAATTTATGAATGTTATGTCGCATAGTGGATTTGATGTTTTCAAATTACTGTTTTCTGCTGTTTTTTATTTGCTGCTTTTTTTGCTTTCCTGACAACATTGGCGCTAGTATATTAACAAACTTCCTCTTCATCAACACTGGACAAAATTTAATATCGTATCGAATTTTTGATATGGCAACCTGTTACGAATTACCATAAATTTTAAATAGTTTTCATTGATACGCCGCTTCCTACTTAAAAGTTTAATAACAAAAGATAAGGGACGTTGTCATAGAATTTTTATAGACTCAACAACTATTTCAACCAGGATACTTACACTTACAGTTTATTCACATAATATATTTACACAAAATCATCTCGCTTATTGTTTAATAGTAGAATAAAATGTGCGTACTATCACAACGAGAAAATATTTATAGTTATTAAAAACCAACTTACGTATTTTTTATCGTTTGTTGATAAGGCTTTATGGGAGATACACTTTTAGATATATCGGTTGTCGGCCCACATGTATATTTATAAATGCTTATTTAATACTTTATTACAAAAATGATATAACGTGAATGACTACTGGTTTGTGGATCACTTAGTTTTTTAAAATTGCTTAGTTTTTGCAGTGATCTCATTGTTAGAGGATTTATTTTCTATTAGGTGTGTATAATTATTTCAGATAACGTTTCAGTAGACAGTAGTCGCACACGGCCTACTACACCGGTCTTAAAAATAGTCCTCTGGATGCATTTTGTTTAAATTTCAATAAAATAATCTAATGTTTGTAGTTTTTTTAACATTATTTATTACTATTGACATATTTTGTTTATTTAAAATGTTTATTTGTGTAGCACAACAAACAGTCCACAATTTTTGGAATAGTTTGATTAAATTCTTTTTTTTTTCTAAACAAATTACAATTAATTTAAAATTAGAATATTATCAGTCTTCAAGGACTATCTTAAACAAAAATAAAACATTATTTCACTAAGACTTATCATAAAAAAATATAACAGACAGTAATAAAATTAAGCCGGAATATTGTTACAGGTATTGCAAATTGGATTTACATTTTCCTAACAAAGATACGTTTTACAAATCGAACAGAAATATTTCTTTTTTCCATTTTTTTTTTCCTTCCACAGTCACCACACCTCCCAATTGCTTTAATTCTTCTGGTGGTTCTGGTGTCAAAACTTCTCGTCGGATCTTGTGGAATTTGGAATGTTACAATTGTAAATAACAAAGGAATTTATTGCTGTAATATTTAAAAGACTGTATAAAACAACCATAGGCCATCTTCTATTACAACGTGCCACATCATATTGTGGCACGTGTGGCAGCTTTTTGTGCTGTTATATGCTAATATGATTTTCGGCTTTCCAGTTACTAGATCAACGTCGTTCCCATGGTGCATAGTGGAATATAACAGAACGTTTTTGTTTTCTTTTTTGTACATATGACACTGGAACACAATACAATATCTAGGACACGTAGTGAGGGGACAGCGATATGAACTGCTAAGACTGATAATATAGGGAAAGATAAGAAGAGGAAGGAGTATAGGAAGAAGGAGTGTGTCATGGTTGAAGAATTTACGGGACTGGTTTAAATGCAGTTCTATAGAACTCTTCAGAGCAGCAGTAGATAGAGTATAGATAGTGATGATGATATCCAACTTCCGATTGGGAGACGGCACTTAAAGAAGAAAATAATGACACTAGTGTTCCTCCACTTCCAAACTCAAATGTACAAGAGCCAATAGGACCGTTCCGCCACTGCCTTTATAGTAGTGTCTAGATAGTATGGATCACCACTTGGTTTTTACCAACGTATACTTCCATGTTACTGGTATAAAATACCTTCGTATCAAACGGTGCAAATATTTTTATACCGTATCTATTGAGATTGCTTGGTATGTACTGGCGGAATGAGCATCGTCCTCTAAAAGCCTCCAACTTTTCGTCCACTTTACTTTTTACTTTACTTTTACTTTTCCTTTAGCCCGCAATACTTTACGTATTGCGAATGACAGAAATATTTTTTCTGATTTTCGTTCCACTTGGTGATAAGATCTCTTATTGGCGCTAATTTATCCAAACTAACTCTATCATGCCTTGTATTGATATCATCAGTTCACATGTACTTCCATGTCAGTCGGAAAACCTCTATATCAGTACCTTCCGTTTCCACAAGTCTATTGTATTAGGGTGACTTGACTTTTTACACCTGCAAGATATAAGAGACCTAAAAGGGCACGAAATTTACCAATGTTTGCTGGGTATATACCTCGATCGCAACTGAACTTCTGCTTTTCTGCTTCTATTTTTGTATTTGTCTCATCAACAATTATTTGCAACATATCAGTATCAAATAGATTGTTCCAAATATCTAAAATATCGCACACATTGTTTTGAACCCGGAAGCTGTAGAACAATATTTTCACTTCGAGTTCTGATGTTCTTAGGGGCAATATGCTTAGCCCATTTTGTTTTATTATCTTTGTCCAAAAAATATGGACCGATGGCAAAATCTGTCTCATCGTCTAATTCCTCGTTTTCTTGTTCCATATCGCTTCCCTCCAAGTTTTCTTCTACATGATCTTCTTCTCCCGATTCCTCTTCATCATCATACTCACAGAACGTCTAAACTTCTTCAAAAATATAACATATCAGTCTTCAAGAACTATCTTAAACAAAAATAAAACATTATTTCGCTAAGACTTATAAAAAAATGTAAGAGATAGCAAACAACATAATAAAATTAATCCCGAATATTGTTAGTCATTGCAAATTGGATTTACATGTTTCAAACAAAGATACTTTTTACAAATCGAACAAAAATATTTCTTTATTCGATTCTTTTTCCATTCACAACTTATCAAATAAAAGATACCTTTTTTTTAAATAAAACTATGTATAATAGGTTAACCTTTAAAAAAAACAAAACAAACTAATGTCACAAAGATAAATAAAGCTAGTTGCTAGCTGCCATACGTCAACATTAAATTTTACTACAAAGAACAAATAAAATGACAGCATTATTAAAACTTTTAAATTGTATGAAAGCAATTATTACTTTAGAAAAAATGTTTATCTTTACCTTAAAATTTGATGACAAAAAAGTTATATAACTTTAAATTTCTGAGGTTGGGAACTGAAATTTAAACTCCCTGCCACTGTTTAAAATTATTTCAATATATTTCGTTTCTATGTATAATTCCTAGCAATAAGATTTAATTGTCTAGACGGCAACCCTGTCAGCCCTCGGCAAAGTCGTTATAAAGTTATAAGATCAGTATGTTTCCATATGTTGCCATAAGAGCACTCAATAAAGAACGTGTGAAGAGATTTGGTTTTACAGCTTTCGTGTTCACCGAAATTTAAAATTTCATTCGGAATATCGCAACATGGAATGTTCATGAGAACACTCTGATTATTTGTAACCCATTTTCTTAGTATGAATTGTGCTGATTTTAATATGTCTGAAATATCTTTACATCGAGCTTGTAATTCTGAAAGGTCATTAGAACCCGTTACTAGGTCATCAACATAGAAATCATTAAGAATTGTCTGTGAAGCTGTCGGTAATGTATTACAGTGATCGATTGCTAATTGATTTATGCATTTTATTGCTAAGTATGGCGAACTAGTACAACCGTACGTAACGGTGTTTAATTGGTAAATTGAAAATTCATCTGCTTGGTTGTCCCTCCACAAGATCTGTTGAAGGGGCTTGTGTGCATCATGTATAAGGATCTGCCTATACATTTTACTAACGTCAGCAGACACGACATACTTGTATAATCGGAACCTAATTAAAATGTCAAATATGTTATTTTGCACCTTTGGTCCAACATATTGTAACTCATTGAGAGACCATCCAGTACTACTTGGACTTGATCCATCGAAGACCACTCTAAGTTGAGTAGTCAGACTACTAGGCTTGTATATGCCATGTTGGGGAAAGAAATAAGTTGGTTCAGTGACCATGTCACTTTCCACCCTGGTCATGTGACCTAAATCGATATATTCATGTATAAAATTTTTGTATAATTGATAAAATTGTGGATGAGTTTTGAATCGGTTTTCGAGTGATATGAATCGTTGTTTTGCTATGTTTTTTGAATCTCCCAATAAATCAGTAGAATATTTAAAGGGCAACTTCACTACAAACTGCCCGTTTTCATTTCTTTGAGTGTGTTTGGTAAACAGTTCCTCACACTGGACGTCATCTTTTGATAATATCATAGGTTCATTTATCTCATTGAGTTCCCAGAATTTACGTAACTGATTGTCTTCTGGTATAAAGCATTGTGAAAAATTGCATAACGACGTTGATATCGCATTCATTACAGTACCAGATATTACCCATCCAAGTTTGGTATTTTGAAGCACTGGTGCATGTTTTCCTAATTTAATATTGCCCTCTAACAACAGTTCCCAGAACAAACTGGCACCTATGATCATGTCAACGTTCTGAGGAGTATTGAAAGTAGGATCAGACAATTCTATATTTTGAGGAATGGAAATTGTAGAGATATCAAATTGTTGTAACGGAATAGTTGAAATAAATGGTGTTACATAACAAGATAATTGAAATTGGAAATTATTTTTGTTTGAGAAAATTGTAATTGAAGTTTTCTTTTTTAAGGTAGAAACCACTTGGTTAATACCAACAATAGCTAAATTGGTATTGGTTAATGGTAACCCTAACCGTTTAACAAACTCTTCGGTAATTAAATGGGATTGTGCTCCTGAATCTAGCAGATCTCTACATTGATGCAATTGATTGTTTTGGTCTTTAACTTTGAATGTTACTGTCGACAGAATTATATTAGATTGTGTATTTCTGTCTGTAACTAAACATTGTTGATTTGGGACTGAAATTGTTTGAATATTGTGAGAAATTGTTTGTGAATTGTGTGACACCTGGTCACTATTATTTGGATGATTATGAGCACCTACTGATTGAATTGTGTCTCGTGAATTGTATTGATTGTTGTTGTTGTATGCATTTGACTGTGTGTTTTGACTTTGATATGAACGAGAATAATCTTGATGTAATAAAGTGTTGTGTTTACGTTTACACTTACGACATGATCCGCTACTGCACCTTTCCTTGGAGTGACCAAAACGTAAACAATTCGGACAAAGTTTTAAAGATTTAATTTTTTCCCATCTGTCATTAATTGTTAATCTTAAAAATTCGGGGCAAGAATATATTAAATGATCACTCTTGCACAAATTGCACTGAACTTGATTTATTGATAAATGAAATTGTGATCGAGATTGTAGAGGTTTCTGAAACCCAGAGTGACTTTTGACGGTCATCATTGAGGAGGAATGAGGCTCTTCTTGAGATTGTAATATGTCTTGTCTCTGTTTCAGGAATTCAAGAAATTCATTTAAGTGAGGCAATTCTACTGAAGTGTGATATTCTTTCCACTTATTTTGAGTTATTTTGTCTAATTTATTGTACACAACATGAATAATTGTCATATCCCATAGAGACTCTTTAGTGAGCTTCATTCCTTCTAAATATGATAAATGCTTTGAAACTTCATCGATTAACCCTCTGAATTGCATGAATGTGCCTTTATGTATCGAATTTAAATTGAAAATAGATTTTAAGTGGGTGTCGACTAGAAGCTTTTTTCGATCGAATTTGTCACAAAGCATATTCCATGCAGCATGGTAGTCTTGGGAATCAGTAAAACCCTCTATTGTTCGTTTGGCATAACCTTCCAACGCAGCCTTTAAAAAGTTAAACTTTTGACCTCCACTTAATGATGAATTGGAATCGATAGTGTTTATAAAGTTGGTTTTGAATTCGAGCCACTGCTCATATTCACCATTAAATGTAGGAAGCTTAATTTTAGGCAAAAGAAAATTTTGAAGTGGATCGTGATTAATTACATTTTGAGGTGTGACATTTATTACCGGAGAAGAATTGCTGTTTATGTATTCCTCTAAATATGAAATTGCCGTATAAAAATGATTTTCAAATGGATCACGTTCATTAAAATGACTTTCTAATTGATCGTCCGAACATTTCTCCTCGATAGATTGTTGAATAATTTCAAATTGACTTAACAATTCACGATTATTTTTGTATCGCAAATTTACATCGCCTATTGTCGGTTTAAGTGAACCATCAATTATTTTATTTACAAAATTTGTTAATGAAGTTAATTTGCGTTTAAGAGAACCTCTATTTCTTATTAATTGTGCAATATCTGAGTTCGACATTATTTATTTTATTTTATTTTTTTTTTTTATTAAAATGTTCGTAAATAATAACAAGTAAAAATCTAAATCTGACAAGTTATAATACCATGCAAAATTCAATATCGAAAGTCTGAAATACCAGAATCTATAAATAGCACTGCGATAAGGGTAGGATTTATTATCTTAAGATGGTATAAGTGGAACAGACTTACATTCAGGCCATGCAGGGATGCGCGTCTGCAATCGCTCAGCAAATTGGCCACAGGAACACCGCTTCGTGTTTGTCAACGTTCTTCTGACTCGCTGTCTCGTTCTCTGATGGGTTGAAACGCACAGATGCACTTGTTGCTTTACTTTTAATAAATTGATTATTCCAAATTGAAATTGTTACAATTTACCACCGGATTCGGCTACGAATGGCCAAAATATTGTATGTTTAAATTGTTGATTTAAATTGACTGGTCGCTGGTTAATCGTGGTGGTAAATAGTTGATCGATAGGGTGAAGAAATAACTTGTAAAACCAAATCTCTTCACACGTTCTTTATTGAGTGCTCTTATGGCAACATATGGAAACATACTGATCTTATAACTTTATAACGACTTTGCCGAGGGCTGACAGGGTTGCCGTCTAGACAATTAAATCTTATTGCTAGGAATTATACATAGAAACGAAATATATTGAAATAATTTTAAACAGCCACACGAACAAATTCATCTCCTTTCCACAAGAAAAGTATTCTGCGTATTTGAGGTTGAAATTGGGACACTGCACACCTTGGAAATAGCCTCTTAAGGAACTGGGCAATGGAACATGTAGAGATTTGCTGGAAACGCCGTTTTTCCAATATCTCACGATGAGAGACGGCTTACAATTAAAAAAATAGTGATTACCCCTATCATAGTTGACACATTAATTTGGGTGTAGATCACTTATTCTTCAACAAATTTGCCGGTTTTTCGCAAAACTACATAACGACCGTTCTCTTTGAACAAATCTTTCAATCTGCTCTCAATTCCCCTCGGCTGATCTTTCTATCTCCACTCGCTGGCTGCTATTTTCCTTTTTCACCTAAAAAACGCGTTTTCGCAACAAAATTCTTGACAAACAGGGTATTTAACCTTGAATCAAAACAACACTTTTAAATTATAGTTAACACGTACCAATCTATAAAACCATATTTTCGTTGTAGTTAAAAACTGGATTTTGGAATTTGGGGTGTTTTCTTTACATCACAAACAAACAGGAAAATAATTATATTCTGGTCAGGGACGTATTTAGAAAATGTTATACATAAGTATTAGAACATAGTTTAAGAAATTTTCAACATATTACAATATAATCATAATTAAAAATAGCCTAAATTGTGGGTGACAAATTCATTTGGCTTTAAAAAATGAACCAAGGCATATTTTGACATATAACAAAAAACACAATGCTTAGGAGACATGGTTGCAACCGGAAAATACAGTTTTACGAAAATTCGCAAACGGAATTTTTCCACAGGATGTTTCAAAGTTAGGATAACAAAAGCACGTTTTAATTAACCCCGTACAATAAGTCAAATTTCAAATTTTATCAAAAAACTGACTATACCAAATTAATAAATGTATACACAGTGTGCTAAAAAAATCATCAAAATAGGGCTAAAACGTGATTACCGTGATAACTAAATCATTATGTATTTACGATGTAACACGTTTAACATGCCGCATTATCACTAAAAATCACCTATTACTTTTAATAGTAATTATCAGTTGTGTCATTTATTATCCCTAAGGTACCATAATTAGTTCGTAACACCGTAATTAGTGTACTACATATCGATATTTTTACTTACTGTTGTCTTTATTTACAGACAAAAATAACTGAAAATGAGTTATGACGATGTTATATCTTTACTTGGAGAATTTGGTAGGTATCAGAAGAAAATCTATTTTTTGCTATGTCTGCCTGCCATTCTTTGTGCCTTCCACAAGTTAGGCAACGTGTTTTTAGTAGCAGAACCAAATTATAGGTAAGTTTACAAAGTAATAAAGTTTATACATGAATATATACATATTTATTCATAAATGTTTTCTAAATTTATCAGTTTATTTACGATGCGATTACTACTTGTTTCCAAATACGGTAGTAGGTTCAACATGTGCTCTACTATTTTTCTACAAGCTAATTTGTATTTGTACTCTCTGATTTGTAAACATTAGTTCCTTTTTTTATATGGCTTCTTAAATTACTCGCATGAAACGCGGGTGCCATAACTTTTTTATTAGATGATGCTAAATGAAGTATAGTCCAGTCGTCAGAGATTTGATCTCTAAAAATGAGACAAACAAGCTGAATTTTACTTAGAATGTCAACTTTGGGGCCCAAAAAAGATGAAAAAAAGTTTACCACTCCTATCACCGGTTTCCTCCTAAACTCCCACTTCTTAGGAGGGGAAAACTGAAAAAATCGATTTACCAAGAATTTGAAAAATGTTTTAAATAAAAAATGAAAAAAATTAAAAAAAAGTGTTTTAAATAAAAAATTTTGCTGATATAATTTTGATAGGGTCATATGGTCTTGGCATAAGAAACGAAAGAGGAGAAGGACTGATCCAATTCTGCTAAGAGGCGGATATGGTTGTAACAAATACACTTTTTAGATTACACCCAAAAAGGCTTTCTACATGGAAAGCACCCGAGGATACCCAGGGAAAATCATAAGAAACCAAATTGATTTTATCAACATAAACAAAGGGTTTAGACATTCTATCACCTCAACAAAAACATATCCAGGCGCAGATGTCTTCTCAAATCATAGTCCATTGGTTGCAAATATCAACATATGACTCAAAATAATTCGTAAGAAAATGAGGCCCAAGATAGATATAAGACTACTAAAAGAATACGACAACCAGGAAAAAAGTAAAAGCACATTAATAAGAATTTTGCGAAAATAGTTGAAGACACTACTAGAGATATAGAAGAACAGTGGAACGAAATGAAGACATCTATTACCACAATTTCGCATGTATATCTAAAATCAAAAAGAGAAAAGAAGCAAGAATGAATGACAGATAAAATATTGTAGATGGTTTAAATAACAATGAATACAAAAAGTACAATGTATGGGAATTGAAACACTACAACGCAAACATGACGATTTCCATATGCAAAAAAAAAAGTAAAGAGGTACAGAACACCAGAAAACAACGCAATACAGACATAGTTGTAGACATTGAAGGCCAGATTTTGACTAGCATTGAAGATAAATTACGAAGATTGAAAGAATATATGCAAGAATTATTCGAAGATGCAACACGAAGTGCGACTAAAATAAACAATCCCTACGGCCCAGAAATAACAAACGAAGAAGTAACTATGGCTATTAAGCTGATTAAAGATGAGAAATCACCAGGACCTGATGAGGTGCATGGTGAAATTTTAAAGCTATTAGAGGCACTCCAAATCACAGCTCTTACGAAGCTATTCACAACATCTACGAGACTGGCTATTTACCAAAAGACTGGCTACTATCAATATTCATTCCGCTTCCTAAAAAAGCCAACGCTAGAAAATGTGAAGAACATAGATTAATTAGTTGATGAGCCATGTACTCTATCATTCACTCGCGCATATACACCAAATTAGAAGAACACCTGAGTGAAGTTCAATTTGGATTTAGAGCAGGATCAAGACAAGTTTATGATATATGAGATATATGGAGCAGGACAAGTTTAAATATCAGATCTGGATTATGCAATCTAGCTAAAATATTCTATATGTCATATTTCATCAGTTGATTGCCTATAGTAGTGTCAGTTGGACCTTTGGTCAATGCTTAGTTACATAGAATTTTGAAATGTGCAGATCACATCTCCATAATTATGACTGCCCATCCAAGCTGTCATATGTCACATGTCACCTTAACATTTTCGTTAATACCGGGAGCAATTCTCTCTTCTGTTGCCGAGCAGAATGTAGCTTCTAAAAAAATAGACTATTTTTTAAATAATTTTAAGCTGTTTGTCCTTGTTTAGTGTAGTGTTATGTACAATTTTATATTTATGACATCATTCTGCAATTGTTGGATAGCCCAAAATTGACGAAGTAAGTCTAAAACGTTAATCACAAAAAAACTTTTATCATCCAATAACTTCGAGTTTTTATCAAAGTTAATCAATTTATTCATTTAAAAAAACGTTTCTTGGCTTAATTCAGATGCCCCTGAAGATACTCTAGGAAGTGAAAGTACTTGGGCAAGATTTAATTAATAAAACTGTGCTCAATATCTGCCTTTTATTTTATCAAAGTATTTTTTTTCATTCTAATCTACTTCATTCAATGGTATAAATTAGTTTTTGGACGTGTGTCACTTATATTCACTTCTTCACTTATGTTCTAGAAGTAAAAGGGAGAATATCTTCATACTGCCTCTGATTAAGAGATATATATTTAGATCGAGAAAAATTCCTTTCACTGTCGTTTATTTTATGAGACTGTAATGACTGTGAGATCCTAATAACGCAACAATTGAAGAACTTTTTACATTGTTAGTGGTTATTATTCGTAATTTCTTAAGACTCATCGCATAATTTAAACGAAGAATAAGTGTTGTGATTTTTTAAAAGAGAAATAAAGGGGCAACTTTTGTGTTTATAGTCTGCTGTTAACTTTTCGGTTCCTGTGCGTTTTCGGGCTTTTGTTATGTGGACAAATACATTGTATTTTCATACAGTATTGGTACCATCTTTATTAATAAATAATTTCTTTATTTAACAATGATATACACCTCGACACCCGATCCAAAAGATGATGCACATTGATAAACTAAAAAGAAATGTTGGCTGTTTTTACGAGTAAAATAAAATTACCTCTTCACCAAATTTTGTTGAAATCAGGTTCACGGTTTATGAGCTATTATTTTCGGATTTAGATGAACGGATAGTTAACGCAAGGTTGTAACCAAAAACAGCTTAAGGTGATCAAAGAGCAGAAAATTGTACACAGGAACATTACAAAGTCCTTTTTGCACAGAATAGAGAACTTCATTGGGGTGGGTAAGGATATATCTAATAGAAAAGTAATAGATAAATGACATAGATAACAATTAGATAACAGTTTAGCAAAAGGAAAACAAGAAATACTGAATAGAGCTAAACTGCTAAAGTTAGGGCGCCAATAAGTCATATCCTGATTTATAAAAATAAAATAATATATTTATAAAAAACTAAAAATCGTCAGAAAACATATCAAAGAATTAAATAAGCAAAAGTACTAAAATTGACCTATATGCTACAAAAAATTTATATCTTCAATAAAATAGTAAACTCTAAAAATTGTATTTATTTAATACTTAAAACATATAATAACACATATCAATATTGTTGTCAAGAGGTGTCGCTAGAGTTTTGACCCGTACCTGGCTCATCGGGCTTAGTACGGTCCTGAGATCTGGACCGGGAGGTGTTGTGAGTGTTCACCATTTCTCCTCGAGCAAATTGGGTAAAGAGTGTATTGTGATGGAGGTTTGTAGGTTACAGGATCTTGATCCTTGCAGGAAACTATCACAAGTCTGGAGATACTACAGCTCTGGTGTATGATCGCTAAAGGAAATGTCACTAGAGCTGTAGCGAAAGTAAGGGAGAAATACAATGTAAGAACACAACACAACGATAAAGATAATGCAAGAGAATTAAGTCGAGTTTTTCCTTAACTTACGCACAGACAGAAATTATACATATAAGGATCTAATACAATACAGATACACGAATTTGAAGCAAAAGAAAGTATAAATAGATCGGATGCTCGACAGAACCAGTACACAAAATAAAATATAAAGTAAAAAATAGGAAATAAAAATGCAGATACTAGGTGAATGACAAGCACCGTAACTAAAGTCTTGAAATACGAGAGAAATCTCGAACTGAATGATGATAGAAAATCCACCTTCTTTTATTGCCCAATTTCCTTTGTCTCACAGGTTTGTGACGAAAGAAAGTGGATTTTCCAAACATCAGACCAATAGGAATTAGCAATTGCCGAAAGATTAGAAAAACCGTTTTTATTTTGAACCAATGGGCAATTTTTCCTGTGCTGAGAGATGTGTCCAGTACGCTGATTGGCTAGTGAATCTAATTGCTACTTGGCCTAAGTGTTTCTAAAAATTTATTAAAGCAAATAAAGAATACAAGTATTTTTTCGGCTAATGGATTAAATCCACAGTCAAAAGAAACCAACAAGTATTTTTTTTATTTCATCTTTCTTCTTTCAGTTTTATTGCGGTAGTAGTTCGTTTCTGGTTGGAGGAGCAGGTCTTATGTCGTCCACATGGATGGTCCGGTTGATGTCTTGGTTCCGGTGTGAGGTCCTGTCCATGTGGCTAAAACGTGGTCTTAGAAAATTTCCTTGGACGTGGTTCCGAACCAGGACCTGCTCTTCTAGTATAAATTTCCTGGCGGGTGGAGCGTTTGAGTTCCCAGATTCTCGAAATCTGAGAACAGATTTACCGTTTAGATACCGTAGGCTTCTGGATCGCTCTGGTGGCCATCTCTTGTCATCTGGCTGCGGTGTTGGCTTCTCTCCGTTCATATTGGCTTTCCTCTGATCGCCTGGGTAGGTATCCCAGCAACAGCTCAGCAGGTGTTTCCTGGGTGGCCCTATTCCTCCTGATCCTCAGGCTGAAAATAATGTCTGGCACGTAGAAGTCTCACCTCGGGTCATCATTGGATTTCCATCTGGCTCGAAGTCCCTTTTTGAGCTCCTGAGCTCGACGTTCCGCCGGATTGACTCACTGGTGGTAAATTGGGCTGAACTCGGCTCTGATATTGTGTCGTCTCAGGAAGCTCTCCCAGGAATCTGTCCGGAATTGGGACCCGATATCCGTTATGATTGTGGTTAGTTTTCCCCAGCGGCTACAGACTTCTTCTTGGAGGAATGAGAGAACATCACCTGTCTGCTTTTGGCGGTCTGGACACATCGGAACTACCCAGTTGCTCAGGCAGACCCTCTCCCATGGGTTGTTGGGTTCTCT